AGGCAGTTGCGGCGGGGCATTCCCCGCCCTTTTGTGACATGTAGCTGCATGCCTTTCTACAACTGGGTTGGGAGGAAGTGGTGTCGGTCACAGTTTTTGCCCAGCCTCATCTCTAGCCAGGTGGTCTCCACCATCTGGAAGGCTGTACTGTGTCTGGCAATATTAGAGAATAACAACATCTACGGACTGAAAACGTCATTTCTAATATCAATGGGTGAAAATATCCCTTGTGCAGCAGTTATATCCATTATATTCTTAATGAAAGTGGGGTTTCCCTTTAAAGTCAATCTTTACCAATCCAGCTGCCAGAGCCATAAGTCTTCCTGCTGAATTTGGGATGAAGGCGGTGATAGCGGTGGGGATTTGCTGGCGGGATGGGTAGGACACCTGCATTCACTAATTCATGAGCATGCAGGCATGTCAGGGACGAGCCTAATGACAGATCTTCCCTTGCTGATCTCTGGGTAATAAAGCAGCTGAAGCTCCAGCAGGGCAATTTTCATTTAAATAAAAACGTTTCATTTCAAGGTATGAAAAACCACCGTCGTGGAGAGAAAGCCTGAGCAGCGCCAATGTGGGCAGGGTTATGTAGAACACGGGACATTATGCTGAAGTGCAAATTCATAACAGCATAATGCGGATTGTTAACCAGTCAGATTGCAGCTTTCATTGCTCCAGCATCATCAGAATATAAAAGCTCAATCCTGATTGGCTGCATTTCCAAAAGCACCCAAATCACATGGTTCCTTTTGTTTCCTATCCTGAGCAGAACAGTTAGAATCTGACTGGGTAACACAGACATACTAATACACAGGGGACTGTACCAGAAGTACGGGAGGGGGCCACCGCAGGTCGCTTTGTGGCTGACATCTTAATCCTAAATTTCAGAAAAAATTACCAATTACGCCAAAGCAGAATCCTTTCATTTCACTCACTGTGCTGTGTATTTGAATTTTGCTTGGAAAAAAATAAAATCTTCTTTTATTTACATTGCTTTATTTTTTTTGCGGTTTAGTTTATAGAGAGGGTTTGCTAGCAATTGTAGAGCCATTTGCCCTGCGAATCTTTAAGAATATTCGTTCTGTGTGAAATGAGGAAAAAAAACAAACATACTTTTTTTCAGGTTGAATGTAACATTCAGAGAAAACTGAATATGGCCACTAGATGGCGCCGAGGAGCATTGAAAATACGTTTGTCCCGTGCTCCATCTAGTGGCCATAATGTGGTATTACATGACATTCAACCTGTAAAGAAAATATTCTAAAAGAGTTTGTTTTTTCCTTTATTTGCACAGAATGAACGTTCACAGAGATTTACGGGGCGAATAGCTCTGAGAATTGTATATAAATACATCCCAAAGTGTTCTTTGTGCCTGTTTGTTTTCCTTCTTTATTTTCATCTGATCAATATATTTTGCAGACCGTTGCTTTAATTTTTTAATTTTACTTTTGAATTATGACTTTTTTTTTTGCTTTCAGTGTTTTTTTCCTTTGTGTTAAAAAACAGTTAATAAGGGGCCATTTTTTGGCTCAAGAACAGATTTAGGACAGTTGAAAGGAGCTTCTGTAACCCTCAGAAGCCATTTAAAACCTATTCTGTCCTAATTTTGCCTCCCCCCCCCGACTCCAATACTTTTTGCCAACATTTTGTAGGAAAAAAAACCTCTCATATCTTGCAGAGAACTGGAATATTTTTACAAATTTGACTAGAGACCTGATAAAGCTAGCATTTTTTTAATTTAGGGGCAGCAGCTGTCTAATAAGCAGTTCTTGATTTTGAATACAATGTCTGCATTAAAGAGACCCTGTCCCCTCTGTCAAAATTACAGGTAAAAGCACAGAAAACAAATGTAAATGCTCACTTGCACTGTTTTTCCTTTCTATAAATAATGTTTTACTCCCTTCCAATGTGCCTTTGAACTTGCTTGAGAAATTTGACTACTACAGAAAGTCAAATCCCTAGAACAGCCTGCTCCCTCCTTGCACGCCATAGCCCTTTCCTCTTCTGGGTGTGTCTAATTACGGCCTGTGCTGCCTATTCCCTCACCTCCCTATTTCACCTTTTTTGCAGCTGTCGGATGGTAAAAAAATAGAGTATCACACGAGTAACAGCGAATCTGCTGGGTCTGCTGACATCACATCCAAGATGGCGGGGCCCCTGCTGACATCACATCATAGATGGCGGCAAATAACATGCTGCTGTTCAATCTAAAGACAATTGTACAACCATCTGTAAAAATTAAGTCAAGGCAACTGGACTTGCTGTATTTTTCTTGAAGATGTTTCACTGGTCATCCAACCAGCTTTCTCAATTCAGAATTCAGAAAGCTGGTTGGATGACCAGTGAAACATCTTCAGGAAAAATACAGCAAGTCCAGTTGCCTTGACTGATAATTTACAGATATACCATGACCTGGATGAATGAGAACCTTCACAGAGAATTGTACAACAAGATTGAAATGTATGCGGCCACCTTCAAACGCAACCTAACCCCCTAAGCCAAAAACCGAAACATGGCCATTCTTGCGCACGGATACCATATTGAAAATTGTTGACCCCAAAATACGACACAATAAAAAAAAATCTACAACAGATCCAGAATACGGTTATAAATTTTCCAGCATCTCTCCCCTCGTTCTTATTTTGGTGACGCCGCAGTCTAGACGCAGCGCCCGCTACATCTAAAATAATTTGCAATTAATGAGCAAGAAGAAAAAAAAGAAAAGTGAGCGATTTTTCTTTTTTTTGTTCCCGCTAACAAGGTTTTAATTATTTAAGTCGAGGCGAGCGCCCCTTGTCAGCTGGA